AATTGGCGGGAAATGGGAATCCGTAACGCTAAGGTTATTCTGTTGACATCTGTGCCTGTAGGGTGGCCTATTTTTCTCATTCGAAAATGCGTGCTGATTTATCTCTTTGTAGGAGATCAGTCTAGTTTTGAGCTTATTTTAACCTTCCCGTGTGTCTTTCTTGTCTAATTCCATTTTGAGCAAATAATTTTTATTGGGAAAATCTGTACTTGAAAGAAGTACACACCATTTTCAGCATAGTTTTATCCCAGCAAATGTTCATAGCAATCTCTAGTTGATTGCTAAATCTTCTAAGTAATCATATGTAACGGTGTTTTTCAATACAAGAGGTAAATAATAGTAATGTTGAGGGTTTCAAATTAGACATGAAGCTTGAATTGGGAGACATCTCATCTAGTTAAGGAGAGCTTTTTATTAATTGATTTAAGGGAAATATCTTACTTATAACTGACAGAGGTTCACATGTGTAATGCGCCCCATTGCCACTAGACACGCCTAGCGACTGCATTGCCGCTCACGTGTGTTGTCTGCATAGGCGTTGTTGGATTCCGGTCCTAAACTTATTGATCGTCACCGTGTTGACGATAAACCGCGCACACACCAGCCTTTTTCCTGCGTCCGCGCCGGCTCGTACCACTTCTTATGCGTCTAGTGCATTTAATGCAAGTTTTGTGAGAACGAGATTTGACAAATCGCGAAACCTCATTCAATGTAAACTTCACATTGTGCTGTAGTGTCTTTTGCATATAAAAGCGTTGACCTACTCTTTGTGAGAAAGTTGAGCGATAGTGAAATTTACAAAGAAACCTATGAAGTTCACTTTTGTTATCTAATACCTTTTGATACCTCTGCGGTGTTTTGAAGTCATCCCTTCAGTTTACGAAATCTTGAACCAATCTGAGTCATCCCTTGCAGCGCAAGGAAGTGGATGCTTTGTTAAGGCAAAAATATGGGAAATTTCCTACGAAGTCTGACCTCTCCATTACAAGCGTCTCTCTCACCTTCGCTCCTGTCGCACCTCAAACGGGTCCCAGCAAGGCACTAACGTTACCGTAGGCTAATGCTTGAATCATCCGTACTCCTTGGGTCAATTGGGTCAGTACCATTAGAGTTGTTCATTGCATTCTCTTCCATATTAGGATTTAGTGACTCTTCCCATCATATTGCCTGTCCGACGGCAACGCAGAGTGAGAGATGGTTTTGTGGCGTGGTTCCTTTCACAAAATCGATAGCTCTTTGATTTTAGCGCAAACAGCGTGTGCGATCGTAAACAACTGAAGGCTCTACTAAAGATAGTCTGTGCTCCTCATGCTGTGTTTTCACCTGCCTATGAATAAATAAATGCACCTATTCGTCTTTATAATTTGTATTACGTTCGGCGCTGTTTCGCCTTAATAGTTTTTTCATCTTACAGAATGGGCCGTGAAGAGACTCGCATCTACGTCGGAAACCTTCCGGCTGATTGTCGTGAAAAGGACATTGAGGATGTCTTCGCCAAATATGGCAAAATTCGTTTTGTTGATATTAAAGGAGGACGTGGACCACTGTATGCTTTCGTAGAATTCGAGGATTCTCGGTGAGTGAGATTTCAATAAATGTGGATAGGTATGAGAGAAAGAATCAATGAGAAATGAATTTTAAACCAAATGGCATCTTTCTTTGAAAAAAAAA